AGTATGCATGGGAATCTGCAACGCCGCCTGGTACTGCTCTAATGATGCTTGATGCTGATAAAATGGTTGCTGCAGCTAGCTCCCGTAACCCTACACTTGCTAGCGCTCTGACGCGGCTCCAAAGGTGTGCATTTAGTGGCAGCTGGGAGGTATGTGCCTGAAAAAAAAATTAGTTTCCTTCCCTTTAACTTGACAATTTGATCGAGTGAGACTGAGATGGTACTGCATCTCCTTGTACACGCCTTCCCGTTTTCCTTATCTTATGGTTTACATTTTGTAGATCCGTATCGCTGCTGTCCAGGCCCTAACTACCATTGCAATAAGGTCTGGTGAACCTTATAGACTACAGATATACGAGTTTCTTCATGCTTTGAGTCTGGGGGGTGTGCAGTCAAACTTTTCGGAATTGCAGCTAAGTAATGGGGAAAACCAAGGTGCGAGTGGTACGGGTCTTGGGTCTTTGATTAACCCAATGCTCAAGGTCTTGGATGAGATGTATAAAGCTCAAGACGACCTTGCTAGGTATGTTGTCCATAAAATTCCTCTTGCCTGCTCTGGAATTGTCCTTGAAATGGCTGCTCTATGGATTTTTGCAGGGACATCCGTCAGCATGATAATAGCAAACAAGAATGGAGTGATGATGAACTCAAGAAACTTTATGAAACCCATGAGAGGCTTCTTGATTTCGTTTGTTTATTCTGTTTCGTTCCAAGGATTAAATACTTGCCTTTAGGCCCTACCAGGTATGTATTTGTAATATTTGGGGTTCTAATTTCCTAGTGCAGTCAAGTTGCTCTTGCTCCTGATTTGAAGTGTTACTTCATCGTGGAAGTCATCTATGCAGTTAGAGCTGTACAATTCACCACTAAGGATTGTAAACTTTACCATCCGCTACATCTTTAGTGTTGTTTGGAGCCATACAATAGATTTTTTTTGGGTGGTGGTGTTATCTTGGACAAGCTGGATCATTTGCTCCATATGATGCAATTAATTGTACTGTTGGACCACCACATGCTGGTTATGGTCCATACTTCATATGGGCCTCACTGCTGTACCATAGGGTTTTCTTCTTCTTAATCCTAAGTGACAGTCTTAGCAATCCTCCTTTATTTGTAACTTCTTTTTTCAAGCATTTATGTCATCCGGGAGACAGTGGGAGGTCTCACATGTTATGATGTTTTTGTAGTGACCATCAGCTTTAATTTAAAGCTTTCTGATCCACATAATTTTCTTTACCTACTGGCTACTGCTAGTTTGCAACTTAAACTCTATGCGAAGGCCTATATTCTCAAATGTCTTTCACCCTGGAAAATACAACATTTAGAATTAAGTTCTGAATTGCTGTTGAGTAAGCTGTAATTTTACATTTGTGATTGCTTAGGGTGTAGGTTAAGTGCTATTTATTGCTGGCTTGTGCAGTTCATGAAATCTGCTTGACTATCGTATTTGTATCATAAGAGAAATGTTGTAGCATTCCATAAGAGAAAGTTGAGTGTAAATGACCTGCCTTTTCCCCCTTGTTTTTTTGGCTGGGATGCATGTATGATGTTGAATCTTATGTACAGTGCCAAGCTAATTGAGATCTACCGCAATCGGCATAACATTAGTGCATCTGTCGGTCTAAGTGACCCTGCTGTTGCTACCGGAATATCTGACCTCATGTATGAGTCAAAAGAAGTACATAAGGAGACCAGTACTATGCAATCCGGAATTGACCCTGATCTAGCTATGGCCTGGGCAGCGGGTTTGGAAGATGATGCCTGGGCAAACGATGCCCCAGGTGTGGACAAAGTAAGCATCTTTTGTGTTGATTCATAAAGGTTCCTGATACCTATCAGTTCAGCTAAGAAGGCTTGCTGTTAACTGTGGCAGATAGCCTGGTTGCTTAATCATTTCCGTACCAGCTCCCTTTTCCTCATTGCTTGTGCTCAATTAGAGAATGTTGCTTTTGATACACTTGCTTCCTTCTTCTTTGATCATATAATAGGTCAAGGATTTCCTTTCTGGTGCTGGAACTGATGCTCCTGATGTGGATGACGAGGAATACATGAATTCTAGGCCATCAGTCGGTTATGATGATATGTGGGCCAAGACAATTCTTGAAGAGGTGGATGCAAGTTTTATGACATTTTCTTAAACCACTCTACTCCGTATACTTATTTAGAAATTAAAGATAAATAATTCGTTTTGTTTTATATTTTGCAGGAAGATGATGGGAGGTCTTCTGGCGGGTCCTCTCCTGACTCGACTGGTTCTGTGGAGACGTCCATATCGTCCCATTTCGGTGGCATGAACTATCCGTCTTTGTTTAGTTCAAAACCACCAAGCTATGGGGCTTCACAACAAACGGTATTTTGCTTCATCCATTATATTATTGCAATGTTATCTATATCGTTTCTGTTACTGCATCTTACAATGCAGATATCATATTTGTAATGTTTAAATGTTTCTCTTAGGGAAGAGCACTATGCACTTAACTATGATAATCATTTCTTAGATCCTATGGCTCAAATGTGTATGCCGATATGGACGTTGCATACTATATGCGCTGCACCAGCTAGAGCTGGAGACTAAAAGTGTGGTTCACCAGCCGATATGGACATTGCATACTATATCCCTAATTTATTTTTTTGAATCGAGGACATAGGCACAACATCTGTGACATAAACTGTTAATCTGAATCCAAAATACTCGTTGAGAAACAAAAGAGAGAATTCGCACCGCAAATAGTAGCTAATCCAAATTGGGCTGTAAATTATATCAACACTCAATTTGTCTTTTTGTTTCTTGAGCTGTGTTTCGAATTTAGGCTTAAAATTTTGTAACTTGATTTTTTAGAGGTGCTAGGGTGGTTGGATGCACCTGGTGCACCAGAAGACCTGGTGCACCAGATACACCCTCAGTTTGAAACACTTTGCAGAAAACACAGGCGCCAGAGGAATACAAGAAGTCACCCAGTTTGTGCCTCCCTCGTATTGCCTGTGTTCCCTTCACTGTTAGGGTGCTACTGGGGTCTCACCACTGGTTGGGTGGCTCCTGTGTTCATCCTTGGAACATCATATAATTATGGCCAGCTTCAAGCAATACTGGAGCACACGAGTTGCAGTAAAATCACTTCATATTTAATTATAATCGAACTTTCAGTATTTGAATATTAAAAGCTATATTTTTCCAGTTTCTGCAAGCATGTCCTCAAGTAGTGTATTGGTGTAGTATCTTTTTGTTTGCTGCTTCTACCCTGTGATTTCAGATGGCATTTGTTTAAAGAAGACTATTCCTTATATCCATTTGCATTTTGTTTCAGATACGTGAAGAACCACCATCATATTCAACATCTGTCCTACAGAAGCGTGAGTCGTTTGACAATCCCCTGGCGGGGCGTGGGGGTCGAAGTTCTGGATCTGGATCCCATGAGGATGTTGAGAAGAGTTCCGGGAACCCTCAATCTGGGAAAGCATTGTATGACTTCACAGCAGGCGGCGATGATGAGGTATGGAGGCTGTAATTCATGGCTACGTTTTATAACTTTCTGAAGTCCAATGCTTTTCTTTCTCCCGAGTTTGATGGGGTATTGCTTATTGGAAGACACGTTTTCTTTTCCAGAGAGATAATTATTAGTTTCCTAAATTAAATTTAGTTGGTGTGTTCATCTAACGCTGTTATTGTGCTTTTTAACTGGTTGAAAGTATTGTCCGCATATTCTTTAGCATGCTGGTTAATTAAAAAAAACTTATGCACCAAAACTGAATGGATGCGAATGTCAAAATAATCAAGCTGTCCCTTCTTTCTTGTCTTGGGGTGCAAAGAAGATAACACATACTAATTTATGTAACTGTTTTCAGCTGAGTTTAAACTCTGGAGAAGACGTGGATATTGAATATGAGGTTGATGGTTGGTACTACGTAAGTTATTATGACCTCACCATTTATTTAACTTGTTCCCTGGCTGGGATGATAACGATTTCAAATGTGCAACCGTTGCTATTTGCTCAGGTGAAGAAAACGAGACCAGGAAGGGATGGGAAGATGGCAGGTCTGGTCCCTGTTTTGTACGTGAGCTCGTGATAGCAATGAACCTTGTGACATACTACTCTGAAGAGGTGGGTGGAGCAAATGGGCCTAAGAATGAAACGCTGGTTAGTTTTGATGCTGTCCTGTGGAAGCAAGGACATATCCAACCCTCTCCGTGTGTGTGTTTGTACGGTGCGGCGGTATTGTTGCTGGTCTCTGTGTGCTGATTTTGTTTGCTATACATACGGCTAGGCCATTCAATTCATTGTTTACATGGGTGGATAGGAATTTGGGACACTCCATTCCATCTTGCATGCGCCGTTCTGCCCCACCGGTTATGCTTGGAAGGTTTCGGTTACACCCCGTGCCCAGTTCTTCCATCGGCTGTGCAATACATCCCATTGTAATTGTATAACTATTTAGCTGTGAAGAGGCTGTTGTAAACTGTAGGCTCAATTTTTTTTTTTACCCCACGATTCTTTTGGTATTGTGTATCGTATGGTGTGAACTGTGTGATTCAGTAGCAAGTAGTAGTGCTGTATTTTTTTTATGGTTTGTGTAAATTTTTGTTTTCCGGTGTATCTAGGATACATGAAAATATACCATAGTGAAAACAACAGGCACCTGATATTTTACTCATTTTTGCCTTCCCTATGTTCTGATCAGTTAGTTGTTGGCAATAGTTTGGCTGATACTACGTGAGTGCTCACGTCTGCAGCAATGTTGAGGTCATATCGCCCTGTCGTGTTCACGCCGCCTAAATTGTGTTGGCCAAAGCATGTGCATCAGACCGACAAATGCATCAGATTCACCGGATCGTCATTAGAATCACGACTTGTTCAATAAAAATAGGCAGCGCAAGTCGGTTGGTCGCTAGCCAGCCTCCTTATCTTGAACCCCCACAGAGAAAGCAGTAGGTATACGGACACATCTAGCCAACACACCGCAATACGCAAGCAGGCAACAACCGCAGCCCCAAGCAAACCGAAGATGGGGAAGGAGTTCGGGAGCATGGAGGAGTTCTGGGGGTTCTACCTGGGCCAGCACTCGAAGCCGGCGACGCGGCGCTGGCACTTCGCCGGCACGCTCGCCTCGCTGGTGTGCGCGCTGCTGGCGGCCGCCACCGGCCGCGCCGCGCTCCTGGTGGCCTGCCCTGTGCTCGGCTACGGCATGGCCTGGTACAGCCACTTCTTCGTGGAGGGCAACCGGCCGGCCACCTTCGGTCACCCCGTCTGGTCCTTCCTCTGCGACTACCGCATGTTCGCCCTCATCCTCACCGGCCGCATCGACGCCGAGCTCGCCCGCCTCCGCGTCCACCCGCGCCTCGCCTCCGACTGACCGATCCGGCCGCCTCTTCGCCGTCCGTGCCGTGCCGTGCCAGCATCAATCAACCAATAAAGATTCCGCGCACTTGCAGGTGTGTCGGAGCATTTGTCTACTGAGGTTCCTGGTGTATGTGTACTTGCTGCGCATTTCTCTACGCACACAAAAATACTACTCCCTCCTTTCCAAAATATAAGAACGTTTTTAACACTACATTAGTGTCAAAAACGTTGTGGGACAGAGGTAGTAGTAGTTCTACCATGTGTCTTTGCCTCTCGTGAATTATGTTTGCTCTACTCTAAGGCCTTTCTCTTCTCCTTGGTATGGGGGCAGTTCTAACACGAACTGGACATACTTCTGATTTATTTTCCTGCACTTCATTCAGTTCCACAACACAGGCTCCCAAAACGACCCACGAGTTTGACAAGTAGTAGATAGAACCTCACAAGAATCGCAATAACAAATGGCAGATATACACGAATACGCGCCCTTAATTTTTTTAATAGCCGATTTAACCGGAGGTCACACGCATCTGATCATGTTGGCTGTAGAGTGTAGACCATTGCCCGGCTCAGCTGTCGCTTCTGTTGGGCTTGTCTGACTCCTCCTGATACACCTGAAACAAGCACGAAGCGTGTCAATCGCCGATGAGAACTGCAGAAATGCCAGCAAAGAAGAGGGAGAGAGGGGGCAGTATCTGTCCTCCTACCGTGTCAGCTGACGGGATCCACTCGTTTGTGGCGGGGTTTCCCTTGGAGGAAGCATGGCGCTCCGTCGCATCCGGGTCCTCGGAGAGCTCGAACGAGGCGCCGGCGGGCCTGTCCACCTTGATGAAGCCCGTGCCAGTCTGCACCACGTCCATCGACCACGATTCAGCTCAGCGGCTCATATAATTCAGAGAAAAATTGCAGAGGAGGAAGGCAGCGACCGTGTGATGCTGCTTGCCGACGCAGCCGAGGTCCTTGTAGTACTCCGTCTCCACGAACTCCTCGCCCGCCTTCCCGCCCTCGCACACCAGTTTCTGCGACAAGAAACCACACGCACCGCGGCATCAGCGGCTCCGCTCCGGCTTGTAGATTCTAAGTATCCACGAGAGGTCTTGATGAACAGGAGGAGATGGTGCGACCGACCTCGGAGTGGGCTTCCAGGTCCTGGAACTTGTCGAGCTCGGGGTGGGAGCCGTCGGCGCCGGGGCCGGCGAGCGCGTCGGTGTACACGGCGGAGTGGTCGCTGCGGGAGGGCTTGGAGTGGCGCTTGGGCGCCGCGCCGTCATAGTACCCCCGCACCTCGTCCACCCTCACCGCCTCGTCCACCGGGGACAGGTGCGCGTCGCTCCTGCTCGGCCTCGACATGTCGCTCGACCGACCTCTCCGCACAAGCGCGCCGGCCGATGCTACTGCTGCCGGAGCGTACTGGTGGTGTGTATTGCTAGGCCGTGGCCGTGGCCACGCTCGTTAGCGGTGGTGTTAATTGCGCGGGCGGCGGTGGTGATGGTGGCTGAAAGCGCCGTGCTATTATGCCGCGTGCGACGGTGGCCTGCCCCGGCAGCGAGATGTTTGTGAGGAGAAAATATCCGCGGGGAGCTGGGTGGATAGAGGGGTACGTCGCTGGGTTGGCGAGAAGATGGACGGACGAGAGGCCAGGAATGCGCGGCCGCTCGGCCGTCACGTCGGAGACGGCGAGATCGGGGCCCTGGCCGGGGCCGTGGTTTATCCGCAGGCGTTCAGACACGGCGTTCTGCTCAAAAAAATAATTTTGAGGGTAATAGCCAAGCTTTATTCATTAAAAACCACATGTAGTGGGATACAATTCGGGTTATGGGGTTGGTCTAACCAAACATGACGCCCCGGACCCAGAGAAAGAGTATGCTTGGCTAATCTATGAGCTTCTAAATTGTTCAAACGGCCTTCAAAACAAAAATTACAATGAAAAGAAGATTGTTGGACTCTAATCTCCTTGATGATTGCTCCATAAGCGCACTTGCTGTCGTTGTGTATGGCACTCATCACCTCCTTCGCGTCTGACGCTACGACAAATTGGTTTAGGTGAAGATCAACTGCAAACGCCAAACCCGCCCAGCACGCTATTACCTCTAGTGTTGCCGGGTCATCCACACCTCTGATAACTAGAGCCGAGCTACCAAGGAAAGTCCCCGAGCTATCTCTGCATACCGCTGCCGCTGTCCCCTGGCTTCCTTTCCTGCACCCCACATCAACATTAATTTTGGCATAGCCAGTAGGAGGTGCTTTGGGTTTCCTGTTGCTGTTATGTACCACTCTGGGTTCAGTCCTTACCGGCTCCTGTTTTCCATTGATTACCTCGAGTTCATCAATGTACCTCTCTACAAAGGACATGATCGCATGTGGGCTCTGAAAAACACCTTCGTGTATAGCTTTTCGCCTCGCTACCCAGATAGCCCAAAGAGTCACCGAAATCCTCACAAATTCAGCATGTGATAACAGCTCCATTAGAGTAAATAGCCACTGCTCGGCTTTTGGTTCGGTAGTTGACGTCATCTTTTGCAGAAGTTCACCATCTATGAGCGCCTAGGTGCACCGTGAGGACGTGCAATCGAGGAGCGAGTGTATCCACGAATCGGGTGCCCCACACATGCCACATGAGTTCAAGTGTGCCATATGTCTTCTCGCACGGACATCGTTTGTTGGGATCGAATGCTTTGAGAGTCTCCAGAGGAACATCCTCACCTTGCCAGGCACTCTCGTTTTCCACAAACTCTTCCAAGATCTCTCCTCCGTCGCAGTGCTTGAAGGACCCAAAGTATTCTCAAGCCATGCCTCTCTCCTTAACCTGGTAGCTACAAGCATGCGATATGCCGAACGGACCGAGAAAAAGCCATTCTTTTCATAGTGCCAACTCCAGAAATCAGAGATATTGCCAGTGCATAGGGGAATGCTTAGTATGACTTGAATATCCATCGGCATGAACACCGACTCCACCTTCTCTCTATCCCAGCTTGCGGATGTGTGATCTATGAGTTCTGACACTAGCAGAGGAGGATTTTGAGTAACGCACCCGTAAGGTTTCATCATCTCCTCTTTGGGTAGCCAGTTATCTTCCCAATTTTTTGTCGATTCTCCGGTGCTAATGCGCTTGATCAGGCCCATCTTCAGGGTGTCACGTCCCTCTATAATGGCCCTCCAAATCTGACTTGGGTGATTCCCCAATGAAGCTTCCAAAATTGAGCAACTCGGGTAATATATACTCTTCAGAACACGCGCGCTGAGAGAGTCCGGCTCCTGCAACAGCCTCCATGCCTGCTTTGCTAACATGGCCAAGTTAAAGAGTTCAAAGTCCTTAAAGCCTAGACCACCCATTCCTTTTGGCTGGGTCATAGTCTTCCACGAAACCCAATGGGGTTTTCGCTTTCCTTCCTTGCTACCCCACCAAAATTTCCGGATTAACATATTGAGATGTTCGCACAAACCTCGTGGCAATTTGAAACAAGACATAGAGAAGACCGGAACTGCTTGGGCGACCGCTTTCACCAAAACCTCTTTGCCTGCTGAAGACATTATGCTCTCAATCCACCCTTGCACTTTACTCCATAGACGACCCTTCAAGTATTTAAATACACTGTATTTAGATGAGCCTATGCCCGAGGGCATGCCTAAATATTTCTCATTTAGGGTCTCATTTGGAACTTGCATCATCGTCTTCATCTCTGTCCGGATACTGTCGGGAACCCCCTTGCTGAAATAAATCGATGACTTGTTGTAGTTGATACGTTGTCCTGAAGCCTGACAGTATCTGTCAAGAACTAGGTTCACCTCGGTAGCACCCATACTATTTGCCTTGAAGAACAGCAGGCTGTCATCAGCGAATAATAAGTGATTCACCTTAGGTGCCGAGGACGCCACTTGTAAACCACTCATGTTGGATGACTCGCTTCTGGATTTTAACAGGCATAAAAGGCCCTCTGCTGCTAGCAAGAACAAGTACGGAGATATCGGGTCCCCTTGTCTGATCCCACGTGTTGGTGTAAACTCCTCCAACCTCTTCCATTTAAACTGAACTAAAAAAGTTACTGAAGATACCAGTCCCATGACAATATCCACCCACCTCTGAGAGAAACCAAGTTTCAACATGATTGCTTGTAAACACTCCCACTCTACCCTGTCATAAGCTTTCATCATATCAAGTTTCAATGCACATGATTGATGCTTCTTTGCTTTGTTCCTCTTCATGAAATGCAAGCACTCATAAGCAGTCACAATATTATCAGTTATCAGTCTCCCCGGGACGAAAGCTGACTGCTCCTCTGAAATGATCTCCGGTAAAATGACTCTCAAACGATTAGAGATTACCTTGGATGCAATTTTGTAGAGGACGTTACATAGACTGATAGGCCGGAATTGTGACAATAACGTGGTTTTTTTTACCTTTGGGATCATCACCAAAACTGTCTCATTGATGCTTCTTGCTGATTCCTTGCCCTCTACAATGTCAAGCACTACTTTTGTAACATCATCTCCGTAGATCTCCCAATGGTGTTGAAAGAAGTGGGCCGGGAAACCATGCGGGCCCGGTGATTTTGTGGGGAACATTTGGAAAAGGGCTTTTTTAACTTCTGCTTGGGTGTAGGGCACGTTCAACATATCATTCATTCTCTGCGTTACTTTGCGGGGTACGGTCGAGAGGACACTCTCCATATCTTGTACCCCCTCTGAGCTATACAAGTTTTTGTAAAAAGCGGTTGTCATTGCTTCCATCTCATCTTTATCTTCGGTGAACTGACCGGACTCTTTCTAAAGAGCCCTAATTTGATTTTTTTTCGTCTCCTTCTACTCGCACGTAAATGAAAGAAGTACGTGTTTTTATCTCCATGCATCAGCCACTCGAGTCTTGCCCTCTGGCACCATAATATTTCCTCGCGATGATATAGCTCAACTAGATTTTCTGTGATTTTTAACTCCATGTGGTTAGGACCGGATCTACCTGGGAGGACGCGCAACTCCTGTAGCTGTTTCTACAACCGTGCAATCTGCCGCCTTACATTCCCAAAGTGCTCGCGATCCCATGCAAAGAGATCCCCCGACACCTGCTGCAGCTTTTGTCGTACCTGCTCCACTGGTCGGATGTGGTCCAGGTTCTGTGCGACCCACCCGTCGCCAATCACTTTTGCATGCATGGGGTCACGCTCCCAACACATCTCGTACCTGAACTGCCTCGGTCCTCGTGGAACTGCATGCAGCGTGTCGAGCTGGAGGAAGATGGGAATATGATCAGAAGAAACAACATGCTTGTGTTCCAGAATTGATGTTGGGAAAGCCAAAGACCATACTGGATTAGCTACACATCCATCCAGACGAACTCTGGCGTAAGTTCCTCCTGCCACCTTTTTTTCAAAAGTCCAGTTGATTCCAGTGAAGCATATATCTGACAAACTGCATGTATCAAGCGCATCTCTAAACGCATCCAATTGTGCCTGACTTCTGTTTGCCACTCCAGCATGCTCATGTGAGTATAAAACCTCATTAAAGTCTCCTATAACTGCCCATGGCAGATCGTTAGCACCAACAATGCTCCGCAACATGTCCCATGTTTTATATCTTTCCACTACCTAGGCCTCCCTGTAGACGAAGGTGACCCTTGTTTTTATCTGAGCCAAATCATCTATCACAACATTAATATGATACTTGGAGTAACCATCAACCACTAGCTTTATTTCATCATTCCAAAAGATACCAAGTCCACCACTTCTCCCAGAGCTACTAACTGCAAAACTATTGGTAAAACCTAATGAGCCTGCTAGATTCTCTACACGAGAGCCCTCTATCTGAGTTTCGACAATGCATAATACTGATGTCTACTACACAACCTTCTTCTTGTAGACGTTGTTAGGCCTCCAAGTGCAGAGGTTTGTAGGACAGTAGCAAATTTCCCTCAAGTGGATGACCTAAGGTTTATCAATCCGCAGGAGGCGTAGGATGAAAATGGTCTCTCCCAAGCAACCCTACAACCAAATAGCAAAGAGTCTCTTGTGTCCCCAACACACCTAATACAATGGTAAATTATATAGGTGCACTAGTTCGGCAAAGAGATGGTGATACAAGTGCAATATGGATAGTAGATAATAGTTTTTGTAATCTGATATTATAAAAACAGCAAGGTAACAAGTGATAAAAGTGAGCGTAAACGGTATTGCAATGTGTGGAAATAAGGCCTAGGGTTTATACTTTCACTAGTGTAAGTCCTCTCAACAATACTAACATAATTGGATCATAAAACTATCCCTCAACATGCAACAAAGAGTCACTCCAAAGTCACTAATAGCGGAGAACGAACGAAGAGATTATGGTAGGGTACGAAACCACCTCAAAGTTATCCTTTC